AGAAGACAAGCTGACGTGGGACACTGAGTCTGAGGGCCGTGAACAGAGCTGCCATCCAGGGAGGGAGAGACAAGCTGACGTGGGACACTGAGTCTGAGGGGCCGTGAACAGAGCTGCCTCAGGGATCCGGGGAGGGAGATGTGAGAGCTGCCTACACACAGGTGATGGTTACAAACATTAATGCGGATGGGATCTCCCAAGATGGGAGTGGTTAAGAGGCAAGTGTGGCAAGCAGTGAGAGCCAGTGACGACTTGGTGAGGTCTGTGGGTGCAGAGCTGACTGTCTGGCCGGGGCGGTGGGGGCCGGGGAGGAAGGCAGGCGGGAGTGGGAGGAAAGAAGCTAAAATATCAAATGCGACAACCTTTCCAGAGGCTTCGCTGAGAAGAAAAGAGAGGTGATCCTGTTCCCGCAGACGGGTCAGGGAGACCTGCCAGAAGGACGGGAGCAGGAATTGGGGCGGTGGAGAAAGGGCAGCTGAGGCCACGCCCGTGGGAATAACCTAAGCTCTCTCGACCCCAAGGGTGTGGCTGCTCTCCCAGGAGCAATGACCTGGTAGCCAGAGCAAGAAGCTGACTTCTCGGTGTTTTCTCAGTGTGGGGCAAGGTGTGATCTTCACCTGAAGAGTAATGTTTGCCTCTCTTCCAAGGAGAAAATGCTGCTCCAGGTAAGACCAGGTGGTCTAAGCCATGTGGATGCCTGGAGGCTGGCAGACTCCTGCCCCCTATACTCAGGAGGGACCACAATCCTCTGCAACTCACGGCAGAGCAAGCATAGGGCCCCACAGGCCCCGCTGGCCATAAACACCTGCCCCCATTTCTAACGGAACGGAGTAGTGGCACAAGGAACCAGAAGTGTGCAGAGGAACCTCTCTCCGACTTTGCAGCAGTGCCTACCCAAGCTGGGAAGTAAGCCTCGGGCTCAAAGTACTTTCCACGGTGCTTGTCTCTTTTGAAGTTCCCAAGATCAGCCTGCAGGGCGAAGGCTGCCAGCAGGAAGTAGGCCTCCTCCCGGAGCACACACTGCGAATGGAGCACTTGTTTCCTCAGGTGCCAGTAATAATAGTATCTTGCCGCTCTGTCACTAGGAGAATAAAAGAAAACAGGACTTAAGTTTTGATGGAAGAACCCAGTGGCATGTAAACAGAGCCCAAACCCTGCTCTCCATCTGGTGACAGGAGCCCTTTGTCTCCACTCCCCCCTCCCCGCCCAGGCAGGGGGAGGCTGTGGCTAATTCCCGGTCTCAGCCTTACCTCCCTGAAGTCGCAGGGGCTCCCAACTCCCCACCAGACTACCAGACAACAAAAATAACATTTCCTGAGGCTTACAACATTTGGTTCATTCAGGGAGGGGGGAAAAGGCCGGAATCACTGCAGCTCTGACGGGAACAAGTGTCAGCGAGCTGCAGTGAGGACAAGAACAGGGACACAGGCTTAGGGCCGCCTGCCTGGCCACAGCCTGATTTTTTGTTTTGTTTTTTAGCTGAGCATGTTACAAATATCCTAAGACCCTTTTAAAAATGTTCCTGTTTATAAACCCTTCTAGGAAAAAGTCTGCTTAACCATAGTGTTCTTTTTTAATAAAAAAAACTCGAGGAGTGGAGTGAAAGCTTTCCTTAAGTCTGTGTTTTGCTTTTTTAATGAAGTGAATGCTACTGAAGTGTTTCATGTCGTGACAACTATACTCCCCACAGAAGGACACGGTAATGGTGTGCTCACCGCAATCCACTGGGGACAGAAATTAATGCTGTTCCCACCAAACACACTGAGTGGGAAGAGCTGACGGGGAAACGTGGTCAAAGGGCCAAAAACGGTCCCTGACAAGTAGGACCATGTGACCAACAGAGAAACGTACGAGAAAAAAACCCGAGTGTGGAGTTCAGTGAGCTTTTTTGTCTCTTGTGTTATTTTAGGTTGAATGTTTACCTGAGATTCATGGCTAGTGTCATTAGCAGATAATAATAAAAACACAAGGGTTTGTTTTAACTGAGACCATGTTTAAGTGTGACAGCTTAAAAATAAAGTATTTCTGTAATTTTTCCCCTTGGGACGAAGTGCTGGAGTGCTTTTCAGAGCACTTCTTTTTGTAATGCTGACCCACACATTGTGTGGATTGGTTCATCCCTGGGAAAAAGCAGAGGTTGTGGGATCAATTAAACATTCATTAGCCCCAGAGGCTTAATTGTTAAATAATACATGTCTCCTCTTTCCAGGGCATTGCACACTTACCAAGTAAACTGAGTAAAAAGTTTTTAATCAACTAAGAAAAACTAAAGAAGTTTACCAGCCTTAAAATAAATTCTTTGGCTCGGCACCTATAGCTCAACCGGCTAAGGCGCCAGCCACGTACACCTAAGGTGGCGGGTTCAAATCCCCAGCCCGGACCCGCCAAACAACAA